GTACTAGTACATGCTATTACGCTAGTACATACTATTTATGTATAACGTACTAGTATATATAATATACGAATGCTATATATAAAATTAATTGCAAAACTAGAAAAGTCGATTAGTATATGTAGATACTTTTTTTGTTTATTTTATGCAGTCGCCAGTTTTCATTTCAATAAACTTGGAAAAAAGATCTTAGACACCTTCGTAAATCGATTGCTCTAATCGTAATTTGATTTTAAAATTTAACCTACTAGTAATTCATTAAATTTGATTTTATGTTATCTATACTACATTTTTATATTCCCAGCGTTATACTGCTTGAAGCCCCTGAAGATCGTTATACTTGAAGCCTCTGAAGATACCACTGAAGATCGTTATACTTTAAATGAGGTTGTCACTGCTTAGTAGCCAATAGTCGTTTATTGTTACAGTTTTAAATTTAAAGAATGCTTACTTACATACAATTAGTTTATTTACTGTTGAGCCCTACTAATAAGGTCTGGATGAGTCAGCCTCACTCGAAAGAATACAATAACACGATTTTCCTTTAAAAATTTATTTAAGAAACATTTATAATGTACTGCAAACTTTTACTTCTCATAGTTAAACAAATTTTTATTTTTTTTTATTATTAATAAACTTGTTTTAAAATATTTTTGTTTTTTTGACCAATACAACACTCTTAGTTTTTTTGTCTCTCAGTTAAAATTTTTCTTTTTTCAAAACGTTTAAGTTTTACCACTTTTTTTTATCACCCCATCTAATATTCAAGATCAACAAATATGAGACATCGAAATCAAGAGTCTTTTTAGTCTTTTAATTTTGTTTTTTTTTTCATCCAAATATTTTAATCTTTTAATTTAGTGCATTTTATAACGATTATTGATATACATATTGGGTATGTATTTGTATGAGTGTAAGTGTATAATAGGTTATAATTATTATTTTGCATATTTTATTAATTTATATAACAAAATAATAAATATCTATAATTTGAGTCTAAAATAGTTTCAAATTTAAGATATTATGTGATTTAGCATACGTTTGAAATAATGTTCAATATTTTTGTTCAATTGGAATTGGGATATTTATAATAATAATGAACTTAAATTTATTTATACCCTTTGAGTTTTTAGTAATAATGATATAAGTATTTCTGTTGGAAATGCTTTTAAATTTAAAATCATTGTCATATTGAAAAATTAATGGTTATAAATTTGAATTTATTTGAAATTAGTGGAAGTGTTATAATAACAATTAATACCCTGTTTTTAATACCTAATGTTGCGATTTTAAAATCATAATGATAATCCTAAAATTATTTTTTATATAAATTTATGCAATAATTATATATTTTTTATTAATTAATCATGATTAATAAGATATATGTGACACTATATGATTATTATAAAGAAATTTAAGATTATAACTATAATTTGCTTGTAATTCGGTTTTGTATAATTAAAATTAAATTTGGAATGATTGAAAATCTATAATTATTGATTAATAATTAGGAAATCACTATTATTATTATATAATTAAATTTTTATTTTATAAACATGTGGGTACTCCTTCTTCCATATCATCAACAAAAACTTCAGAACAATTTTTTTATTTTATATCAGAACAACAGATATTGCAATTTCATAAAAATTTTAATATAATAATGAAGTTTACATTGAATTAATATGAGTAAATTAGATTTCTTAATTATTGACTGTTGTTAAAATAATTATTACTTATATATTTATTATAGTTGAAGGGAATTATAAATTATATAGTTTTTTTTTTAATATCAATACATACCAAATACTTACCAATATTGAAAATCATGTCTCTATACTTTTAATTATTTAAGGTTAGGTTTCTATTTAATTATAATTATAGGTATTAAATTCGTATTTAATTGAAAAATTTGGGATGAAATATTAATGATTAAAAAATTGATGATAAAATTCTAATTTTGAAAAAACAAAAAACAAACAAATAGAATTACAATTGATTAGCAATTGTCATTGATTAACAATTGATTAATAATAATAATTGATTAACTGAAGTCATAATGACAAAATCATGAAATACAGTGTGGGACAAAACAAATTTACTTTTTTGATATTTTATTAAAATCACAATTAATTCAATGTTCAATACAAAATTATACACAAATATATTAAAATGATATTAATATTTTTAAAATTTCATTAATTTTAGTCTTACTTCAACATGATTAATTGCAACATTTTTATACCAAAGCCGGCCGCTGGCTTTCAAAATAAATTTGGTACAGTGTGAAGGTGTGCGTCTCTTTACTGTATAAAGACAACCATATAGTATTAATTTAGAGTTTGAATTTGATCGAAAATAGGTAAATGCAATATAGGCTAAGGGATTGAACTAAAAGTGGGAAATATTTAGCACTAAAAATTTTAGTACTAAATTTTTTATAGTTTAATATTTATATCTGGCAATAGAATGTAATTTCTGAAATAAACAGTGAGAACTATTTGTGATTTTATGAGTATCATTAAATTTTCTTTTACAAATATTTGTTTATAAATTGTTCTATAAAACCTATAATATGTTTTTATTGGAGCGTTTATTTTACATTTTCGGTACTAAAATAATTATTGCTGACATCGGAATTGTGACAGTACAGTATCGATACACAATTTGACATTTGCAAGCTGAACTCTGCATTATTGCAGTATTATCACAATTTCGATCTCAAGGCATTATAGTTTTTCAGAAGCTTGGTTTTCGGGCTTATCCATATCTGAATATTTCGCCAGTCAGAGTCAATAAATTTGAAAATGAAAATTTTCTATAATATTTTGGTGATTAACTAGTAGATGTGACACAACAGTGTAAACGCATCATTAACGTTTGTCATGAAATTGTCAATATTTGTCATACAAATATTAATTTTTATGACATTACAGAAAATTAATTTTCTATTTTGTCAACCAATTTCGGCTTTTAGTATTCCGGACAAACTTTTGATTTACAATAAAGTTAATTTAGCATAAATTATCGATTTTGTTTTCTTTTATTATTTTCAATATTTCTGGTTGTATACGTTTAACATACTTAAGTCTATATTCGGCTTTATTTTTTTTTTTTTGGTATTTTCTATACTTATACAAAAGTATTTAAAGTTGACATTGTTCTCAAAAAATTAATGAAATTTTTATTTTTATTAAATTATTTTTTCGTTTCTTAATTAATTTGATCAAAAAAAAAATACAAAATAAAAACATGGGACAAAAAAAATTTTTTGTTTTTTTTTGGATTACAAGCAATAATAAATAAATATTTTTATAATAGGTATTATAAATTTTATCATTTTATTCAAAAATTTAAGAAATTTAAAATGAAGAAGATTCAATCTTTGTTAATTCGTTAAAATTTCATGTTAAAATTTAATTTTATTTTGGCATGTTTAATGGCATTTATTCAATTCTAAAAATAACAAAAAATATTAATGGTAATTTGCGAAAATCCGAAATTAAAGAATTTTGAGGATAATTGGTAAGAGGAAAAAAAATTAAAATTAAATGAATAAAATATGAGAATAAAAAAAAATTGGGGTTATTCCTTTGTTTTATTGAATTTTTTTTTCTTTCCTCTGTTCTGGGTTTGGTTCTTTCTTTTTGTGATTTTTGATTGATATTATTTGTTGAACTGATCCTATTAGATAATAAATTAAATGAGTTTTTTGTGTGGCTTTTATTTTTTAATGTAATATTTTAAATTTAATCTTTATGTTTATCTCATAGAGATGGATAATTAATGGAATGAGAAATAGAAACACGTTTTTGAGATTATATAACCGCATTATAAGTACACACATGTACATGTATATAAAATGAATTATTAATGAAATGAATTTCTGCGAAATGTTCTATTTAAACTAGTTTTAGTTATTAAATTTTATGAATTAAAATTCCAGTTCTCCTCTTGATATTCAAAAAATGTATTACATTCAAATAATTATTTCAAAATTTTAAAGATCATATCGAAACCGGATATTATTTAATCACAAAGAATATTTTTTTGGGGTTTTAAAGAAATTACTTTAGAATTGTTTAGAAAATAAAATAAAAAATTTGAGTTTTAAATTCATTTGAAATATTTTAGTTAAAATACTAAAGAACATACTCTATGTTAGTAAAGTAAATGTGAAATTGAGTACTCTTAATATAATTCATCACTGTTTAGGTCACAATCTAAATTATTAAGACAAATTTTCGGCTTCTATAATTAAAAATTTAAATGAACAATTTCGAATTAAAATATTATTATTTTTGGAATATTTTTTTAAAATTAAATTTTCAATTTTAAATTAAAAATTTTTGGTTATTTTATAAAATGATTTCATTTGAGATAAAATTTCGTAATATCGTATAATATAACCATTGACAAATTGTGGTATAATAATTTAAGTGACATTCTTTAATGTCAAATAATTGTAACATAATGTTGACAGTACTGACAATTTTAAAATAAACATCAAGTGTTTTATAATTTAAATTCATTTAAAATCTTAATTATCTTAAGAGTTAGTTAAAGAATTATTTAAAATATTCAACTATTATTGAATGCGTTCACTCAAAATATTAAAATTTTTAATTTAAAAAAAAAGAGATTTTAAATTTGACAATTTGCTTTCTATTTGTTGTTTTTCCTCTCTTTCATCAAATTAATTCGAAATTTAAAAAAAATTGCATAATATAAAGAAGGAAGTAGAAAAATTTTTTTTAAGATTAGTTATTGAAAAATTTAAAACTGTTATTATTTAATATTGGTTCTCCTTGAATAATAATTATAAAATATTTTTTTTTCGTTTCCGTTTATTCTTCTATATTTCAATTTTAATTTGCGGTTTTTCAATGATAAAATTTTCAATGTAATTTTATTCTTTTCTTTATTAAAATTTAGTTTAATTTTCGAAATTATTCTCTTGAAATTTTAATTTTTTTTATATATTATGAAAGAAAGTCGACTTTTTTTGTTTAAATTAGTATGGATTGTTTTATTTTATTTGAATTTTTGTTTTTATATACAATTAATTCTAATTCTAAATATTAATTACAATATTCTAATTTTTTATTTTTTTCTATGTACTTATTATAAAATTTATTAATTTATTTATGATTTCTTTGAATTGTACAAAAGCGTAATTTCATACATTTACCGACAAAAATTTTTTTCTTAAATTTCTATAAGACTGTTTTTGTTAATTTTAAATACATTGTAATTTTTCTGAGTGTATTGATTTTTTTTTATAAAAAAGTTTTTGTTTATAAAAAATCACCTAATTTTTTTTTCTTTTTTTTCCATTTTTATATTCAAATATTTTATAATTTTATTATAAAAAAAAAAAATATAAAAAAAAATTATACACTTGAATTTTAAGTACTTTTGTTTTTTGTACTTAAAAATAATTTAAAAAATTTGTTTTTTTTTTTCCTACTTAAAAATTATATAAATTTACAATTTATTTAATTTGATCAAATTCTGGTACTTACATAATTTTATTAATTACAATCACTTATTGCTTTATCGCTATATCAATAATTTACATAATTATTATTTAGGATTCATTAAATATTAATTAAAATTTAAATTATATAGTTAAATTTTTTTTTTAAATTATTGATTAAAACCATGATCACGTTTAACAAAATCAGCTCCACGTTCAGCTATCATAAATACAGGACCATTTGGATGACCAGCAATAATTTCTGGCATAATACTAGCATCGATAATACGTAATTGATTAACACCATAAACACGTAAATGTGAATCAACAACAGCTGTTGGATCTGTTTTTGGGCCCATTTTACATGTACCAGAATAATGATAAATTGTAAATGTAAAATGTCTAACATAACATTCCCAATATTTTCTTGTTTTATAACCATATTTTTTACATGTCGGTATAACACGATCCCATAATTGTGCATTAATATTTTTAAAACCAGGTTTATCAGCTAAACTAATTGCTTTAAGTAAACCACGTACCGATATATCAACATCATATGGATGATCAAAATAATTTGAATATATTAATGGATATTTAAATGGATCAGTACTTTTTAATAATATTCTACCTCTTGATTTTGGTCTTAATATCATTGGGAATATCATGAATGCATTTAAATTACGATCTTCAATTTCTCTAAACATTGATTCATATATTGATGATTTTAAGCCGAATGCCCGGCTAATAGCTGGATTTGCAGCCATTGAACCACCAACTAAAAATAATTCAATATCTGGCCAACCATCTGCATTTTTAGGATCATCTAATGCATAAAATGATATTGATTCACAGCCACCAGGTGAACCATATGGACCATGATGATTCATAAAATCAGTTAATAATAATGGATTAGCAAAATCTTCAAAATGTAATGATGTTGCATTTGTTGTAAATGTAACAGCCGGTGCTGTATGATCTTGTAAATTAAAACCAACAGCTAAATCAGCAATTATCGGTTTAATACCCATCTCTTGTAAATGTGATGCTGGACCAATACCCGATAACATTAATAATTGTGGTGTATTAATAGCACCAGCTGATACAATAACTTCTTTTCTTGCTCTAACTTTATATTTATGACCATCGATAACAACTGATACACCATATGCTGTTTTTGTTTCCGGATCAATTAAAATTTTTGTAACATGTGCATTCTTTTTAATATGTAAATTTGGTCGTTTCCCTTTAATCGGATATAAATAGGCACGATTTGAACTGGTACGTGTTGAATTACGTGTTGTTGTATGTAAATGTGATACACCAACTTGTATTTTACCATTATAATCACGATATGGTAAACCATCTTCTTGTGACGCTTGTACAAATGCATCAGCAATTTTTGAACGCCAACTAACATATGATACAGTAACTGGACCACCACGTCCAACATAATCAACATCAGCATCTGGTACACTACTATCTTCTAATTTTTTAAAGAATGGTAAAATTTCTTTATATGACCAACCTGGATTACCTAAATCAGACCAACGATCATAATCACGACGATTACCTCTTGTATACATCATATAATTTAATACACTTGAACCACCCATTACTTTACCACGTGGCCAATTACAACGATTATTATTCATTGCTAAACATGCTGTTTTACTTGATTGTGTACGATATTTCCAATTCATTGAACCTAATTGTAAGAAATGTGCAACAATTGGTACATCCATAATAAGTGATTCATGTTGTCCTGCTTCTAATAATAATACACGCCATTTTGGATTTTCTGATATTCTTGCAGCTAATGTACAACCAGCTGTACCAGCACCAACAATTATAAAATCATATTCAGATTCCATTGGTTTATTATCCATACTTTCTAAACGCATTTCTTCATCACCACGTCTTAAAAAATCAAATGCCGATAAGAAAATATTTTGTGTATCAATATATTTAACACATGATATTAGAATTGCAATCAATGCAACCGCAAGAGTTATTCGACTTGATATAGACATTTTCTAAAGGTTTTTAGGTTTTAGTTGTTTAATTCAAAATTTTAGACTTTAATTAAAATTAACACAAAAATTTAGTTCTATTTAGAATTAATTTTAAACTTTTTTTTTATTAAATCACAAAATTTTTAAAATTTTTTTTGAAATATCAAGTTTTTCAGAAGATTTTTTATAAATTTTTTTGTTTCTTTTATTTCTATTTTAATTGTATTTAATTGTTCTTGAAAATAACTATTTTCCATTTGATTGCACTAATTTCAAATTAATTATTTCCGATTACCAAATACGAATTTAGTCAAAAGAACAAATTTAATTTGTATGTGAGTATAAAATTTTTTATATAATTTTTAAGCACGACGGTCTGTATAATATTTTTTATTTTTAAATTATTTTTTTAAATTAAACTTTTATACGTCACGAAATCCGCTTCCAAGCGAGAATGCTGCCCGGTTTCGTGAACGATAAACCACGATCTTATCGTTACAAAATATTTACCACGAATGAATTCGGTTCTGATTTGATTGTGCATTATATTTGTAGAAAAATCTTTAAAAAACAAAAAAAAAATACCAACAAACATGTTAAAAAAATAGAAAGAAGAAAAACGAAAAACAAAAAGGAGAAAAATAATAAACTTCAAAAAGCTCGTCTTAATTTTTTAATTTCTTGTTGTTTTCGTATTTTATTTTATTTTCGGATTTACAGTATATTTTCTATTACTGCTAATGCTGCTTCGATGATTTCGAATTAAAAATATTGTGTTTCAGTAGTGTCGTAGTGTAGTCAGTAGTATGACGCACATTGTCAATATTTTGACAATTATCTAAATAGTTCATATTTTGCAGCATGATTATTAATAATTAGTAAATAATTATGAATGAAAAAATAAAAATAAAATAATTTAAAAATATATCATTTAATTGTATTTTGTTAAAGTTCTAATTTGTGAGGGTAAAGTTCAAAACATTCTTATTGAAACTTTTGATATTCTTCTGATTTTTTTTTTTAAATTCCATTCACGTTTTGTTTTTTGGTACTGTGTTTCGTATTCATGTCGTTCGCTTATATCTGTAACAAGTGTTTTAAATTAAAATGAAAATGAAATTATATTAGGGGGCAAGTACCAACAACTATGCACTAATACATTATAAAAATTTTGCATTTTGCATTGATTATTGAAATCTTCTGTTATTTTTGATTTTATTTCACTCATTTTTATTTTATTTTATTTTATTTACATAAACATATGCATTCTTTTAACAGTTATACACGTACGAATATACTCTCAAATAATCTTTTATACACTCAATAAATTCATGCAAAGAAAGAGGGTATTATCAAACTGTTTGTTTTGTTGTTGTACTATCATACAAATTTTATATTGAATTGCCTTGATTGCAAACAAAAATGTTTGATTTCAATGTCAATGTCATTTATTTATTTTTTGTTTGTTTTTTATATTTTATATAGTTTCGTCTTCTGGTTCCATTTGTTTTTTTTTTTTGGTAAAAATTTTGAGATATAATATTTTTCATTTTTGTGGAAAGGGAAGAGCTACGTGAGTTTTTGTAAATAAAAAATAATGAAAGAAAAAAAAAAAGTGTTAGTGGAAAATGAAGAAAAACAAGAAGTAAAAAAAAAAATGCGCGTATAAAAATTGTTTTATTTTTTAGAGCGTGAAATATTTCCCTAAAATCAAAAAATTTTTTTTTTAAAGATATATGACTGATTAAATTGTAGTACATACTAATTTATCTTACACTTATATGGAAGGTATTATAAATAGATTACATTTGACTGGAAATCAGGTGATATTTTGGTCGCTTGCATATTTTCGTCAAACATTTTGGTTTGATTTTGTTTGATATGACAGAGAAGAGAAGCTGAACTGGCAACATGTTCGTTTGGTATATTTAAACTTCTTTTTTTTTTAATGTTATGGAGCCAATATATAGAGTGAAATAATTCTTAATTAAGAATTCTTAATTAATAAAGAAATGAGCGATTCTCAATTCTCAAAAATGAAATTTTAGTTTATGTCATTTCAGTCACATAGCCCTCAAGCTCTGCAAATCAGAAACATTTTCTGTTTGAATGTAGTTTAATAGGTCTTTGGCTTAATTTAAGCTTTTGAATTAATCGTTGAGGTTCAAACATTTTTAAAATATGCTTAGTCAAATACAAAAGAGATGGTGCCTGGTAAATTTAATGTACATACTGGATTGTTGTACTTTATTTTAAAAAAGACAGAATAACGGACTAACAAAAAACTTTTGTTATAGAATTATTTCTCTTCAAAATTTTTCTCATATCAATAATCAGTATAATGTTGTAGGAGTTTTGATTAAACAGATTAAAATAAAATTTCACGCATTATGGTTAAGAATTTATCATTTATTTTTTGAAAATTTCAAATTTCAAAATTGAGACCTAAAAATGTTTAACATTTTATTTATTAACATTTATTATTATTGTTAAATTGGCAAATATAATAGACACTTTGTAATATTTTACAAACATTAATTTTCTTCAAACTTATATAATAGGGTATTTAAGGTAATAATTTCATTAAATTCTCTATAATATATTAATGATAATTAAAAATTTTATATTATGTTTTTATAATATAATTTTCTATTGTCAGATCTTAAATATTTTATTTAAGCTGTGACCTTCAGTATTATAATTTAGAAATATTTGTTTTAAAAATATACTTGGAGTTTGATGTAAATATCAAAATTTATGCATGTAAGTTTGATATATTTCATATAGAAATTTGATTTTAATAGAGTTGTAAGTTAGATTTAATACAATAATTATATTATTATTAAACAGAAATTTTAGAAAATTTTAGAAATTTAGTAATAAGATTTTGTAATAATAATTGTAAAAAATAATCATTAAGTATTTTGTTGTAAAGTAACTAATGTTGACAATTTAAAAATGTTCATATACGGAACAAAAATGTTGTAAGTGGAGAATATTAAAAAGTGTTGCCTACTCTTTATAGGGAGTTGTTGTTTGCTCTATACTCATATATATTGCATTATTTTTTATATTTATTGTAGTAGGTTAACTAAATAATGTGGAAGAATTTAAGAAATTATGTTTTGAAATCATATATTTTTTAAAAATATTTTCATATATTTAATATTAAAGATGAATTTTAATATTAAAGATTTGGAGCCGTAAATTATAATGGTAGGCATAAAATAAATATTTAAAGGAAATTAGCTACACTATTGATTTTAATCTAATAATGTCATTTAAATAATTTTAGATCAACATTTGCAGCGTGATATTTATTAAATTATAAGAGTACTTTAATTTAATATTACTATAAATGTTTAAGTAAGATAAATTAGCACTGAAATTTTTCGGATTAACTTTGGATATACTCGTAATATAATATAATATACTTGTATAATATTATTTATAATCGTTTTTTTTATATCATTCATAATAAATAGGTCCTGTTCGGGTATAAAATCAACAGAAGGCTGCTAGAAAATTATATTAGAAAAAGTAAAAACAAGATGAATTTGATTATAAAAAGAGTGCATATAAGGCAGTACACGCCCAATAGGATATAAAAATTCGTCCTACTAAACAATAATAACACTTTCCTTCTTTTTATGCACATGCAATTTTTTATGAAAACAGATGTAATTTCGAACGTACTAGTACCCTTCTTTAATTTATTTCGTTGACAAAGTTTGCTCGCCTCATATATACACCTCAAAGAGCCGCAAGCACTTTTCAATTGCCTCGTATTGCTTTATCAGATCCGGAATACCAATAATCGGGCCTATTACGTAATGTATATGACACGAAATTGTTAGACCTAATATTGAAGCTTATTTATTATTTAAATATAGAATTGCCATCTTCTTTTAATTTTATTTGGCGGCTTAATGAATACAAACCCTATTAGATTGAATTGTATATTTATAATTGATTAACAATTGAATATACCTAAATATTTTACAATGCAGAGTCAAATAACAAATTGAATTTTATGATAAGTTTGCTTCTTTTTTAATTTGAAATATTTGGTTATTTTGAATTTTGTTTTTAAATTATAGTAGAATCCCATCAAAACTTAATGTTATTGTATGTTAATTCGAACTTGTTAAACATTAAACAAAGCTTTATATGCAATCATAGCAAGTTTTTATATTACATTTTGTGTGTTCGATAACAAAGACATCAACATAATGTTATTTTAATAATGATCTGTATTGCATGTATGACATACATATATGTACATACACGTATTTATATGAATCAACATTAGTTATGTGCATGTATTCAAATTATATTGTGTGTAGTGCAGCGATTGTAGGCGTTTTCATTTGAAAAAGCGGGACAAATTTTTGTTTTATTTACTATTTTTATATAATATAACAGATATAACACATTGAAGTTTCTTTACTATTATAAAAAAATGCATACATTCCTAAATAGTCTATAGTTTTATTTTTAAATTTATAATTAAATTTTTTTTTAAATAAATTTTATTACTATAGTCGTTATTAATTTATTGCATTTTAAAATATTGTTATACTAGTATATATAAATAATAAACTTGACCTTTTATACAAATTATATTTTAATTTAAATTAGTTTTTCTCTCCTTCTCTCTCTCTCTTTCTCTCTCTGTGGGTTATTTGATAATATGTAAAAACTATGTAAATTTTTTAACTAATAAAATTTTTGGATTTTTTAAATGTAGGAGTAATGATGACGTTCCATGTATGGTAAATCAAAAATTATGTTTTCGAATAAAATACATTTGATTTTATATAAATTATCAATTCAAGCACAAACTGCTTGTTTTATTTAAAAAAATTTAATATTTATTAAAACTAAAATCATCGCAGTGCTGTCCATTATTATTATTATTATTATTATTAAATTTGATTATCATGCTGAGATAATATGAATACCTATAGGGCTACTGTATATAAAGAATATATTATTAGATTGTGTAGATTGTTTAAAGAAATTATGAAAAAATGAAGAAAAAGCTGATAAGACACAGATGCAATTTTTAATAATAACGAAATTCGTAAAGAAATCAATGTGGAAAGCTAAAATTTTGCCTTTCTGTAATATTTTCTTTACTTATAATTTTGATTCAAACAAAAGGCCTGTAAAACAGCACATTCACCTTAAACAAGTGAAAATAATTAAGAAAAAATAATCTTCTACTTAAATAAGTTCAATTAGTATTTATGTAAAGCATAAATTGTTTTATGAAAAAAAAAAATTGCATACTTTTTGGGGAGAGAAGGAAAATTAATTAAAAAGACGTTCATATAATGGAAAAATTTGACATAACCGTCGAACTTTAGGTGAATTAAAGTAATAAGATGTTTTTGATTGCAATACTTTTGTGGCTGACTTTGTATTTTTGTAGAAATCGGGAAAATTTTGCAGTTCCGGTAATACAACAAGTCGAAAATTGATATTTTGCTACTTGAGAAAAGTTGTAAGGTAGA